ATTGATCCTATTGTCACGGTCAAATGGCGATGTCGTTACTAAAGATTGTCAACAAGATCACTCATAATCAGCACCGGTGATGGTGTGCATTGGATTATGGTAGTGATGCAGTAACTTTTATGATGGTGAGATATGCATTGAAATGAGACTGTTGATTGTACACAAAATAGCCGTTACAAGACTAGACTTCATCATTGAAAAATCAAGAAAGTAATCATAAAAGTAGCCGACAGTTTGTCTACTTAAGGATAGTGCAGCAAACTCCATTTGAAGAAAAACATGCAACTGTCAGAGGAAGTGATTGTAGAAGTAGTTCCAATGCTGTTAAAAGGTCTCCATCAACTCTCAAACGGCCAGCTAAGTGTCCTTGAAGGTCTCCAACGGATATATTGAAGACTTATGTATATAATGAGCAGTGAAGCTGCATAGAGGGTTAGACACATCAAATACTGCCTGTCCGACCTAAGTTAGAAAACGTATTTGATCTTATTTTGTGTTTCTATGTATATTGGTTTAGCACCTTCATAGGTGATAATCAAGTATATAAGTGTAAGTGTAGTGAGTGTGTTCTGATAGTGTAATCTATTGAGTGAAAGGAACATCACTAGCCAGTTGTGACTTGCACTACTAATTACTAGTGGAATCTAGCCGTTGTTAAGGCTGTTAGTTTGAGAGTGGAAGTTGACTTGGGATAAATCTAAACTACTGTAATTCGTTGTGTAATCCTCGTACTTCACTCTATTTACTTATTAATATCACACATGCTATCTCATATTTGTCCTCATCATGAGGGGTGATTTTTTGATATTCCGCAAAAGTTTATTATATCACTACACAACCTACACAACCCCCATTCTAGGTTTTATTGTTAGCCCCAATAGCTTCCGGGACCTACCCAAGGATAGTGCATCCATGATCAGCCTGCCGTGCCGAGCTCTGAAGGGAAACAAAAAGAAGGGTTGCAAGGAACCCAAAACCCCCTTACTAAAAAATAGAGGAGGTACAGTCCTTACAAATCCAATTCCTCAGCTCCTGCTTGGTTGAATGAGACTAAACTTCTTGAAACACCGGTCCATATAACTGAAGAAATTATTGGATGGGTTTTGGTGACTAGCCCTAATAAGCCACCAAATGAAAAATGATATTTCAATATTGGAACTGTCCATGGTTGGGCACACCCTTAAGCCTTAGTGACTCGTTATGTAGCCACTGTGATTTTCTTGATGGACACTAAAAATCAAGAGGTGATTCTATAGTTTCAAAATGGTATGGTTGTTAATCCTATGGGAACTGCCGGAGGTTTGGCCATTTTGTGGGATGATAAGATGGCCTCAAAATTGATATGCAATTCAAGGATTATGTGAATGTAAAATGTGAAGAAATGACTAGTGGCAAGAGGATGAAAGTGAGAAAACTTTTGGGAATGGCCATTTCGTAGGGTTCGATCATAGCTCTATCCTTTTGTCTTTTCAAGGAGACTTGGTAAAGGGAAAAAAAAGTTTACGTTCAAAGCATTTTAGCTCAAGAATGATGAATGTAAAAAATTACTAAGGAAGTGTGGGGATCTTCCATTCAGGTTGAAAACAACTAAGTTGGGAAACTATACACTATGTCTATCGCTTTGTCCAAATGGAGTAAGAAAACTTTTAGGAATGGGCACAAGAGGATTTACATGTTGAAATAAGAACTTCAATAGTACATGAACATTTCTATGGGACCTTTCGACAAAGAGACAGTAAAAAATCTACGAGAGGAGATTGAAGCGATGTGGAGGTAGAGAGAATTGTATTAGGGGTTACCATCGAGGATAAACTGGCTGGAATGGGGTGATAAAAATACAAAATTCTTTCATGTGACGATTATTCAGCAAAGGCAAAGGAATAGAATTTCTATGTTGAAAGTTTCAGAAAATGTTTGAATTGAAGAATGAAGCCAGCTTAAAGAAACCATAGTACAATTTTTTCAAGAACTGTACCATTCTATTGGCCCCTGAGTGCTTTCCCTATTCAATAGTGTCCTAGGGTAATAGTGGTGATGAATATTTTATTGTTGATTGATGTGACTTTGGATGAAGTGAACAATGCAGCCTTCCATCTTGACACTTCAAAAAAAGCAGGGCCAGTGAGCTTAGTGGGCCTTTCTATCAATAGAATTAGGAAGAGGTTAACATAGATGTTTTAAAGGAGGTGAATGAATTTTTCAGAGCTGGGTCTTTCCAGCCAGAGTTAAACAAAGCACTTATTTCTCTAATCCCAAAGGTCCCAAACGCTGAGAGATTAGGTCAATATCGCCCTATTAGTTTGTGCAGTTTTGGCTATAAAATCATTTCTAAAGTGTTGGCAAACAGATTCAAACCTTTGTTGCCGGAGCTTATGGCTACGAAATAGAGTGCGTTTGTTGGAGGAAAACAAATTCAGGATAACATCTTTGTTGTTTGGGAGGTGTTACATCAAATTAGAAATAGAAAAAGAAGAAAAGAAGTTTCAACCACTCATGAAGTTAGATATGAAGAAAACATACAATCATGTAGATTGGAGCTTCTTGGAGGCATGTTTGATTAAAAGTGGCTTTGATGAAAGATGGGTAGGTTGGATAATGCAATGTATCATTACCGCCGTTCAGTGTTAAATTTAATGGAGAGCCTCTCAAATATTTTAAGCCTTCCCGAGGAATTAGGCAAGGGGACCCTCTATCCCCCTACCTATTCATTTTGGTAGCCAACGTTTTATCCTCACTCATGCGGATGACAGTTGATAATGGCAACATTAGGGGAATAAAACTAAATAGGTGGTGCCCTACCTTTTCTCATTTACTTTTCACGGATGACTCCATATTTTTCTCGATGGGAAACTTCTGGAATGTCAAAAGTTAGTATCAATTCTGAACCAATATTGCGTAGCCTCTAGACAAGCCATCAATTTGAAAAAATCTGGGACTTTCTTTAGTAGAGACTGCCCTCAAAACTCGTAAGAGAATATGGCGAGGGAGCTAAGAGTACCTATTATTGGTAAGATAGGAGATATCTTGGGATTCCATCGGATTGGGGAGTATAAAAAAACAGATGTTTGCCTAGATATTGGGACAAGTTAGTACCAAGCCGGAAGGTTGGAAGGAGAAATTGATGTCCAAAGTGGGGAAAAAAATCATGATTAAAACGGTGGTGAAAGTTCTTCCGCAATGTACCATGTCTATCTTCAAACTCCTTCTATCAGTGTGTAAGGCGATTGAGCAGAAAATAGCACATTTCTGGTGAAAAACTAACGAGGCCAAACCTAGAGTTCAGTGGAAGAGGTAGGAGATTTTAAAGACCAGTAAGGTAAAGGAGGTATGGGATCCAAAGAATTGTTCGATTTCAACGAAGCAATGTTAGCTAAGCAGGCCTAGCGACTAAGCAACAACCCATTTTCCCGATGGAGTCAAGTTTTCAAAGGTCTCTACTTTCCACATAGAGACTTCTGGCGAGTAGAAAAGGGACAACACCAGTCGTAGGGTTGGCAGAAGAGACTCCATAACACCCTTGGTTATGTTGGCGGTAGGGAATGGGATAAGAATAAAAACCAGACAGGATAAATGGCTGAAGAGAGAAGTGTTAGGAGGCCTTGCCACTAGGGATGAACCCCAATTTGTATCAGATTTCCTCTTAACGGAGGAGGAACGCCGGAATGAAGTCGCTTTGAAGGAGGACTTTGATGATCAAATTGTGTGTGAAATTCTGGCGATCCCAATCAAGCCTCAAACAAAGAATGACCAAATTGTGTGGACAAGTACAAAAGCAGGTAGTATACAGTTTAAATCGGATACAACTATATCCGGGAGACAAGGGAAAAACATAGTGGGAACCATCATTCCTACCCCCTCGCACTCTGTGGAAAGACATTTGGAAATTACATGCCTCTCAAAATCAAAATCTTCATATACAATCTTTGCCAGAATGCACTCCCAAATAAGGAAATTAACATCAGAGAAGGATTGTACCTGACCCATTATGCCCATTATGTAATCAAAGTGTTGAAATCGTGGAGCACTTGTTTTCTCTTGTGTCCATGGACGAAGGTAGTCTGGGCGAAACCAATGCTAAATATCCACATTTCTAGTTAGGGATTAACTCAAATTGAGGACTGGGCGGGAATTATATCAAAAAACATGAGTCACTCATGAGATTTGGCAACAATTGCCTCAGTGCTCTGGTATATTTGGAAATCGAGGAATAATGCCATCTTCAGGAGAAGAAAACTTGACCTGAACACCCTCGTGGACACAGCTCTTGCAAGATTGGAAAGCTTTAAAAGATGAAACCCTAAGATGAACAAATTTGGAAATGGAGACAAGAGCTCTTCATGAAGCCAGAATCCATCGAAAGCTGAAACCTTTAAGATAAACATCAATGGAGCATATGAGCTGGAGCGACGGAAGTGTCAGTTGCATGTGTATGCCATGATCCCGCTGGTGGATTGCTGGACGGAGCTGCAAAATCGTTTACTTCGTTGTCTCCTCTCTAGGTCAAAGCTCAAGCCCTCTTTGAGGCCCTAAATTACTTTCTCTCCTAGACACAGAGTCATTGCAGTTGAATCTAACAACTCGGACCTGGTCAATGCGCTGAGAAATCTAGATCAATTTACTTGGGGAGCTCATGCACTTATCATGAAATGCGAGGATATGTTACTCTTCATTTCAAATATTCGAGTAGAATATAATTTTAGAGAGGCCAATTTAGTTGCGAATTGGGTAGCTAAAATCCATAGGAGAAATAATTCATCTACGAAGCGGCTCTATTTTTCTCTCTCAAGCTTTTTGGAATTTATTATGTGTCGATGCCCATCTTTTGGCCCCTTTCTTAGCTACCAAGCCTCTTAGATTTTCAAAACGCAGGCACCAAAGCGCAATCTCCAAGGACATATTTTCGGACGTTTCACGAGCCGGCTAGGACTTTACGCCTCCACCAAACCAGTCAAATCTGACGGAAGCGTACACGTCATCACTCCCCGTTTCGTCACTGCGCGCGACATCACTACCTCACCCCCGTCGCCACCCTCCTCCCTCTTTAAATAGCTTCGCGCTTGGACGCCAGTCTCGTCCATATTCACGTCGAAGCCGGCACACCCAGAAGCAGTCATCGCCCAGATTTTCTATCCGGAAACTACCGTACGCTAATGGCTCCTCCGTAAGACTCCCTCGCGATCTTGCGCTGTCGCTCTCTTTCCTGCGAAATTCGAGCCGTTGTTCTTGTGTTTTCTGACGATCCCTTGCTTGGTTTTTCGTTTCGATTCTGCCGCAGTGCCGTGGTAGAGAGCTTGCCTCCTCCGTTGAACTCCAGTGCCGAGCAGCCTCCTCTTTTCGATGGAACTATAAAGTTCGATTCTTGTCTTTTTTTAGTCCTTGAGCGTCGTTGTTCGAGTTGATTCAGTGTGATTACTGATTATATTGTCGTATCGTCTGATTACGTTTGTGTTCTCCGAATTGTCTGAAGGTTGTACACCTGTTACACATGCCCATTTGCTCAGCGCGTCTGGATCACGAGGAACTATAAGGTGAGTTCATTCTTTGTGATGCATGTGAAATTTGACAAAATTCAAGTGAAATTTGTCTGTTTATGTCATTTAGTTCATTTTGATTGGGTTCGTGATTAGTTTCTAAATTGGGATTGTTTTTCCGAGATGCAGGGACTCCAGGACAAGATTAAATTAGTTCCTCTTAATCTTCAAGACAGGCCTGCTTGGTATAAGGAGAAAGTCTACCCCATGAATAAGGTTATTCTTCTTTTGCTCGTCTTTTACCCGTCGCCGACTGTTTTAATTCTGGGTGTTTCACGATAGTAGCCCAGATTCTCCGCTTGACACTGATTGTCAAAGCCCAAATTGGATTAGTTTAGGATTCCAAGCGATTGCTGCAGGATTCCAGATTTTAAAGATTGGCTCCTTGTGTTACTAGTTTTCATGTATTCCAAAACCAAGCATGGCTCAATTGCGATGTGTTAAGCATAGTTACACCGATCCGCTTTGAGGAGGGAGATTTTGATGGCTTCTTGCCGGAAGGAAGGTGGATTGACTTCGAAGCTTCAGGAATTTTTTATTCTCGATAGATGACATGGAAGTGAAAGCTTTGGTTTAGTGGGGTGCTCTACATTAATTGCAGGCGTACATTTAGGATCTGATGGATCAGGGTTAATCGGCACTTTGACTTCAGCACTTGAACTTGACTTTCCAACTTGTTGGGAGTAGGGGCTTTCACTGGAACTGAAACTCTATCTTCTGTTCAACTCCCTGAACTTAAAGACTTTGAGGGCTTACTTTGTAGGGCTTTCCACTCGCACTACCCGAAAGGAACTAGAAGTAATAAGCTAAGCCCGCCAGCCGCCAACCAAGCCAATGCGCCATCCCTATCCCTTCCCAATGAAGCTTCCTTTTTACTTTTTATATCATAAACTAACCAGGTTTGTCGTTTTTTTGGATCGAGAGTAAGCATTAGTGATAGGACAAGAATCGGGGAGACATGTTTCGTTTATTAGGAAGAATGAATTTTCTCTGGAACCCTTTAATCTCTTGTTTAGGCATCTGTTGATGCAGATGGAAATTTGTTAGAGGGACCGGCTGAATTGGTGACTCTCAAGGGTAGCTGATTTTAGTTTATGGGAACTAAATTGTCTCCCGACTTGGTTTATTTGACCTTTTAATCAAATGAAAAGGGTGAGTTTTAGCCATTGTTGATTTGATGGGTACATTTTGCTTTTCTCCTTCTGTAATTTACGATTAGGTACCGGCGTTGGAGCACAACGGGAAAATCGTTGGAGAGAGCCTAGACCTGATCAAATACGTGGACAGCAACTTTGAAGGGCCTTCTCTTTTCCCTGATGTGAGCACTTGATAGCAAATGTGCATTTCTTTTTTCTGTGGCTTGCACGTAACAACAAACTAAGTGGCCGCTCTTCGTTACGTAGGATCCTGAAAAGAAGAAGTTTGGTGAGGAACTGTGGTCTTATGTTGATGAATTCATGAAGATAGTCTACACTTCATTCAAGGGAGAAGGACCCAAAGAATGTGGTAAGTCCTCTAAGCACTTTCTTTGATGATAGGTATCTCCATTACCATTAGTGAACTTCATCTTCTGCATCAGGTTCTGCTTTCGATCATTTGGAGAGTGCTCTTGGCAAATTTGAGGATGGACCATTCTTTCTCGGACAATTCAGTGGGGTATGTTGGCATTCTCGCATTTGATAAGGGGCTCTTCAGTGCTTCTTCTTTTTCTAGATGGGTTAGACAAGATATCCATTGATCCTGCAATCCATATGATTTGCGAATGAATCTTGGAGAAAGAAGTTTTGCCTGATATGTGGCTATCAATATGTAATTCTTTTTGTGGTTGACTATTATTTAGGGTCTAATTTTGTGATTTCAGGTGGACATTGCCTACATCCCATTTGTTGAAAGATTCCAAATCTTCTTATCTGAAGTGTGGAAGTATGACATCACTGCTGGTAGACCTAAGCTAGCAGCATGGATTGAGGTATGGGAAGGAATCTAGTCTCTGGCCAATGCTTGTTTTAAGCCTCATTTCTTTTCCATTTTGACCAAAATTCTTTCTTCCCACGAACAAAAGGAAGCTAAATTCCTAGATTGATTCCGAGTAAAATGGTGAATCAGTGATAATAGTTTCAGGATAGTGTCTAGAGCTAAACTTTGGCCTTGTTGAACCATTGTAGCGTGGGAGCCTGTCTCTGGGGAGATTATAACCTGCCGTGAGGCAATCGTTATCTGAAGTCATCCAACATGCTTAGTGGGATTTTCATTAATAGTCTCTGTTAAAGGGTATAATGGTCTTTGGGATTTTGATGTGTATATATACCGTATTTTCTGATCAATAAAATATACATCATTATTCTTCTTACAGTCTCCATAGTTTTCTTGTAGAGCCATATATAGAATGAGAGAGTCCTCATTCTCCACCGACCTTCAAATTATTCACTGGTTGTGGTGACTATATTTTCTATGCAAATGCATCCTCTCTTGAGAGGAAAACATGATAAAGTTTCCTTTAGAGACCAAATAGTTTTACAGACAACCTTGGGATCTAGTGTGCTTGTACTACCTGGACAATGGCAAGTCGTATTGTTACTAGTTGCAGATTCAGCAGCTCTGCTCAATTTCATTCTTGCTCAAAACCATATTATGCATTGATATTTCCTTTTACTTCATCCCGTGCAGGAAATGAACAAGATTGACGCTTACAAGCAGACAAAGACCGATCCTATTGAACTTGTTGAATTCTACAAGAAGCGCTTCACTGTAATGCTTCTAACTCAAACTCGATGTCACGAAATTTTCTGAAGGACTTTCTTTCCTCTCTCAGCGCCAGTGAGTTTGTTTCTAGTCGCTAATTAGTTTTTTCTTCAAATGCAGGCTCAGCAGTGAATGGAGTCAGGACCATGCTAGGCTATGTATGAAGGGAAAAAGGGGAGTAAGAAAAGGGTTGAATGGCTTGATAGTTGGTATACCTTCTTTTGATGTTTCTCTGAGGCTAAGGCTATTGTGTTGTGTATCCGCTCCAGATGCAGCGATGCCCATGTTTTACAGCTTGAAAATGTTATCGGGAAATTACTTGAAATTTTGTATATGTAACAGTTCATTTTCGAATCATTTGCGTTATTGTCTGTCTTCATATTGATGTTTCTTTGGGTTTTCCCTGGCTTCCCCTCATCAAAGCTGCTCAACTGTCCTCGCTATTCCTGATATTTGCTCATCTTGAGGCTTATTGACTCAGACAGAAGAAGCTGTTCATCAAAGAAAAAAGAAAGAACAAGCTGTTGTTATAATAGTACTGTGAAAAAAAAGTACTTTAAATTTTGGGTTGATCTGTAGGTTATGTGGGTTCTATTGTAATATGAAGTGTTTAGTTTGGGTTGTGGCAATTTCTAAGAAAAAAGTATTTTATTTATTTATTTTACCTTTTCTTTTTGACAGAATGTTATCAGACTTCGATAGGTATAGGTAAATATAAATCTAACCTTCTCCACACACGTGGCATTTACCGTTACTCTGAATATTCAAATCAAGAATTTAGAATTGGACAAATGATACGAGACAACATCTTTATCTTTTACTACAAATAAAAAAAAGGGCGAATGCAAACGCATAAAGACGTCATTTTTTCGGGCGAAGGAAAATTTCTTGAGCAGATTAGTAGTGCCGATGCCTCATTGGTCATGATGTTATATTTTCATAACCCATATATTATTGGCGATGATGCTCATTATTTGAGATGAGTTTTGATCAACTAGGGAATAGATACTCACATGTATATATCGGCAGCTACTATGTCGTATTTGCACATCTTGAGATTTGTATGTTCATCCGTGTGCATTTGATTATTGAATTGTATGTAACTCATGACATTTATTTTACGGCACACATGATTATAATCATTTATATATATATATATATAGATATATATATCGTGTGAGTTATGTCTTAAACAATTTCAAATAATATATTTGGAAAATGTAAATGAATACTTGCGATTTACGGTAGGTTGATATTATCGTTACTCAAGTCACAAAGTGACGAGAAATTTGAATATGTGGTTGGAGACGTGGATTTTTGACATGATTATGAATTTATACTATGATGCGTACTCATAGTAGCTGAAATGGTTAACATGTAGTATATGGATTGGGATGCAAACATTTGAATAGTGTAAAATAGAATACATGTTGCATTTCAGTGATCGAAATATTGTATTATGAATACATAAATAACTAAGAAATATCTTGAATAAATGAAGGATTGGTATATTCTGAATTATAGTGATTTCTCTAAATGATATTTGATATTACTTGTTGATTGTTACTATGATGTTGTGCTCAGAGGTCGAGTAGCGAGTAAATCTCCTACTTAAAACCTAGAGCTTTTTTTGTTACTAAGCTTTAGGCTCACCCTCAAAATACCTTACAGATTGATCGGGGACATGTAGATTAGCACTTCCGAAGATCTCTTGAGGATTGGATCAGAGTGCGTAAATAAAGTAGGAGTTTGCATTTTGTATTGGGAGTCACGATTTTGTAAGATTGTGTACATGACTTGAGGTTAAATTAATTATTTATCTGAGATTCAAATTGTATTGGAATTTCAGGTCATGACATTACGACCCCTACCTTTGATCTCATTACAAACCTTTCAACAAGGACTTATCTTAAACACTATATAAGTTGTATTATTGTACTAGGCCAAACAAGGGCTATTTAGGGATGTCAATGGGTTGGGTAGGGTTGGGCCGGGTCGGGCTGGCGTCGGCTTTTTTGACACCCCTAGCCATTACTTTCTTGGCTCTTCCATGCTCATCTACTTTGGTGGGATTTGGCACCTTTAACATGTACTGATGTCCAGTTGATCTAATATAATCCTCTAGAATAGGATAATCTAAAGGCTGGAACGTATATACATTTTGAAGAACTAGAGGAGGGAATTAATGAGCACAATTAGACAGGGGAAGTTCTTGGAGATGGCCGGTCAGACTTCACAAAATTGTGCAAACTCTCTCTGTCCTGATGGATGTTTCCTTACCCATTTGAGATGGGGTTTGTAAAACAATGAAATTGCTTTAGAAGGAGGTGGCTTAGCTTTGGAAGGAGTGGGTTTATGTTTCTCCAAGGGGGCCGATAGTAGTGTCAACATCTTCCCATTTTGGGTTAATATCACGAAAAACCCAAAACTAGTAGACCTGTGACAAATTTACCCTAAACTAATTTTTTGACCATCAAAAACCTTAAACAGGTACATTTATGACAAATTTACCCTCCGTTAGTTTTCTTTAAATTTTACCTTCAAATTGCTAATTTGGATAACACTTGACGGTTGACGGGTATATTAATTTGGGGTATTACCCTTCGTTTGTCACAGGTTTACCAATTTGTGATTTTTCGTGATATAAATCCAATTTAACGGAAACTAATGGAAAATAAATTTATCACAAATGTATCGGTTTAGGATTTTTGGTGGTCAAAAAATTCGTTTTGAGTAAATTTGTCATGGATGTACCAGTTTGAGATTTTTAGTAATCAAAAAATTAGTTTGGGATAAATTTATCACAGGTGTACCAGTTTGGGGTTTTTCGTGATATTAACCCTTCCATTTTTGGAAAAATTCTTGCTTAGATGAGCGAGATTTCTTCTTCTTCTTTGAAGGCTTGTCATCCTCTTCTTCTGGAGTGGCTAGACAAAATTTGCTTTGACAGTTTAGATTCCAAAAGCAATGACCTGAGGATCTTTAAAGTAGACAAGAGTATGCCTCTCAGAGTTGATAGAGTCTATTCAAGCCTTTTTCTTTCACTTTCATCTTCTAGAATGTATGACTGCATCATTAAAATGGTAGGAAAAAATAGAGGAAGAAGGGTTTTCTTCTTTTTCCTTTGAATGATCAAAATTAATAACCATACCGCCATACTTCTTTTGGTGAATTTGGACTCTAAACATTGGATAGGCCTAACATTTTGATGGATCTTCTCATAGTTAATCACCCATGTATCTAAAAGAAGCTTAACTAACTATAGGCGAGGAAAATGCCTTGGCACATGGACCCACGAAGTTGTTATCCACTAAAACGAAAAGAACATCTTCTACTTTTGAAGGAGTCAAATCAAGAGCATGATTATGAGCGAAGAGTTGCTACAGTAGAGTCCACGGTACGAGGAAATATTGCTTGAGTGGAATACTCCACGTAGGCTGTGCATAACACCGCTGAGCGCGTGACATATGACTAGCGAGCCCATAGATCAGATTTATCAAAAAATATGACTCTTTCCCTTCTCTCTCCCATTCTCCGTTAGCCTCCGTTAACTCTCGCCACTACTGCTCAAAAGTTTTCACTTTTCACCTAGTCTCTTTCTCCCTCACTCCTCCCGCTCAAAATTTCTCCCGCTCCCAACCTCCTCTTCCTTCCTCCGCGACTTCACCTCCTTTGGTCGTGAACCCGCCCACGCCTATGCTAGTTTCCTCCACCGTCCCCTTCCGAAAAAACCCATATACTCTCTCTCTCTCTCTCTCTCTCTCCTCCGTGAAGCGCGGCTCTTTTTGTGAACCGCGCCTCTGCCTCTGCCTCTGCCTCTGCCTCTGCCGTCGCCTCCAGGAGCCCATTGGTGGCACGCGGCCGCCTCCGCCTATGCCGTCGCCTCTGAAGCCCCCCATTGGCGATTCGTCCTCAGTCCCTCTCTTTCTATCCCGAGATACTGGGCTCTCTATGACGAACCACGCCTTCGCCGTCACCTCCTGAAGCCCCTTCAGCGATCTCGGGCTCCGACTCGCCCTCTGCGTTGCCTCCGAAACCCCATTCTCAAGTTAGGGTTTTGTATGACGTGAACTTATTCCCGTCATTTTTGCCCTAACGTGAAGATCGGTGGCTCAGATCCCGACCACGCGGCCACCTCCACCAACGCCGTCGACTCCGAAGCCCCCCATTGGCGATTCGTCCTCTATCCCTCTCTCTCTGTCCTAAGAAATGGCTCTGCTTGGCTCTCTGTGATGAACTACGCCGCCAACATGTATGCAAAAATGACTGTGGCAGAGACTACTCTGTTGGATTGTAAACAAACTAGAAGAGATATTAGATACTGCAGGTTAGGAGCACACCAGAGGAGTGGAAGTCACAAGGTTTTAAGGTTCGTTGTTCTTCTGTTTTTTCCCTTTTTGGTTTGTTTCTTCTCCACGGAATTGTTTTTTTGGCCTCATTTGGAGTCAACGTGATATGTGAATGTTAGGGATTTTGGAATGACAACAGCGACCGTAAAAGTATACCTGATCCTGAAAATTGTGTATAGAATGTGGACATTCTGTGGTACACATGGTGATCGATTTGCCAAATTTATTGATTTTTTAATAGCTTGTCCGGATACTTCATTTAGACACAATGGATTAATGCATAAGATATGAACTTTCCTTGAATCTGTTTTCTCTAGACATGAAACTATCTAAGGAAAAGTAGGTGTGGCTCCAATGAGGGAAAGACATAAGTCCATCATACCCCATTGAGATGACTTTTCCTGTTTGGCAGTAAGTAAGAGATTAAACCCCAATAACGTTAATTTGGATTTCCCGTTCGTTATTGATGACGATGTGGAGTTTAGTAATTACGTTGGGTTCCTAAATAAATCCCGTGCTTGTACATTCTGCTGATTGTGTTTGATTGTGCTCTAAAATGTTTGTGTGAGTGATTGTGTTCTAAAAATGTTTGTTTTGGGACAATTTTATGATCCTCCTCGAGGTGGAGGGACAAATTGATTTGCCTTTACCCTAAAGAAACAAGTTAGGTTCAACTCATAAAAAGATCACGCTATTATTTTTACTCTCCACTCTTCCTTTTCTGTATAAATTAGATCTATCAATTTGTCAGTGACCCACGGTGCTTGTTGAGGCTGGGCATGAGCCAAAACAAATGCAAAAGATAAATCATGATACTTCCCTCAACTTTCTCCTCATCTTCTCCTTGTAGTATTAGAGCTCAACATTGTTTTTTGACGTGTACTTTCCTCTGTGGTTCTCAGCATACAAAAGGACCGTCAAGAAAGATCTTCATCTTTGATCCTTTTGGTAAGTGACATGTAATTGTTAACTGTCTATTTCAAATCTAACATTCTGCCTGATGGATATTTGACAATGAATTCTTTCGTCATTTTAGAGTCATCCTTTCATCAAAAAGTTTGAAGACAAGGATATTGATCTCGGGATTCTAGTAGGTAGCTTGGAACCTCCCATAAGTTTTCTGAGATATGAAGCTGTGGGTGTTTGTGGACTACTTACTGCTAGTGGTCATTGAATTGAGCAGAAGTGAAAGAAAGTTGTAAATGGTGATGTCTTGCAGGTACATGATGTCTTCATCCAGTGTGAATGAAGATAATTGGAGCAGATTGACCTTTCAAAATAGAATGTGCAAGTGTGGTAAGCGTGTTGCC